TCCTTGGTCCTACACTCTTACTGCATTTTATTAACAATCTACTTAGGAAGATTCTGATATCATTAGTAAACATGTGCAGATGATGCTACTGTTTATTGATGCACTTCCAAAAATCAAGATGACTGGAGTCTTGAAGCTGATTTTTTTTTTTTTTTTTTTTTTTTAGCTCAATAGAGAAGAAACTGGTTTGCAGTACCTCAAAAACCAAGCAAGTATTATATCGCCATCATTGATTAAATGTAGTTTTCTCCACTCACAATGAACGGCTGCACTCTGAATGAAGATTCATGCTTTGAATGTCTATTGCATCTCAAGTTCACTCCAGACCTCAAATTCATGTATACCATCTAATGCTAATGATGCTGGAAAAATGTTTGGCCCCGTCTATCACTCCAGAAAGTATCTGACTTCTGCCATGCTGTATCTTTACAAAAGTCAGACTAAGCCAAAAAGGGAGTATTGCTGCCATACTTAAGGCTGGATCTTCTCAATCCTCACTTTTCCAGGTTTTATAGTTCAAAATCTTTTATGCAAGTCTTGTAACGTAAGAATTAATTTCCATTCTGTCACCTCTTTTCTGCAGATGTAACATCACAAGCTTATTCCTACTATGTTACTATTTCCATATTTTCATTCCACAACTTCAGATCCAGGCCACATCATGTTGAAACACCAGTTCCTATATGATTACTGAAGTTAAGCAACATTTGAGCCTAGATGAGTGACCACTTGGGAATACCAGGCACTGTAAGATTGGATATGTGGGTGGTGTAATGGATAATCATTCAGAATTGTTAATTGGAGAGCCAAGTTCTAATTCCAGTTGAGTTCATTATATTCACCTAACCACAAATACCCTTGGGAAAAGTATGAATCTACCACCTCACCCCATGGCTATGGGTTAATTAGTAAAACTTGTATCACTGAAAAAAACATTATCTCTATAAATAAAAAAAAAAATTACATAAAAAATATTTAGATTTCAGCCTTAAATAACCTATAGAGGTTCATATATACTGCTAAACAAAAACAACCAACCAACAAGTTTAGATCTTTACAGGTAGGACAGCCATGCTACTCCATCAGAGTTGAATCACCCACAAATTTTCACCTCCCACACTTGATGGATGACAAGTGCTTGCTTCTTAAATAGATATTGAACAAATATCTCAAAAGGAAAAAAAATCAAGCATGCTTACATGTTTATGAGCTGAAAGAAACATTTTTGCATTTCAATTCTTCAATGAAATCTTTAGGTAAAAATAATATAAATAAATTTGATAAACAGAATTAAATACCTTAAACCAAGTTCAAATAAGCCATAATAAATTTTCAAAGTTAACATGAAATTTGGCAAAAATGCAAAACATTGAAAATATTTGGTCAGTTTGTATTTTTTCAAAAGAAACAAAGTGAAGTAAAATGACGTTTTTTTTTTTTAAATCCTGTCTTACAATATTTTGCAAGAAAGAAAAACCTAATTTTATAGCTTTTGTATATTATTTTTATCAAGTGTGTATATAATTGTAAATAGTGCTTCACTGATAATTGATTTTACAAATAATTACAACAGATAGAAATTGTAGGAACATTCTTTTGTTTTCTTTTTTTCTTTTTTTTTTTTTCAAATTCCTATAGAGCTGGCTTTTAGCTCGTTCAGGTCTAACTCATATTTAAAGAAATGACATTTATGCAAGAACTACAATGTCTAACCTTAACAGATGGTATTAACTAATTATATGTTATAGTAGCAATAGATTGTTAGGAAGGTAATTTCACAGGAACAATTTTCATAGCAAGAAAAGTACTCATTTTTAGTAGTAACTAGCAGTAGAGCCTGGCGTTGCCCGGGGATGTAACAGTAAGAGATAGATCAAGTATCGACCATCATAAAGACTGAAAAATAAAATTGACAAAGATTATTGTTTTAGGTTGACGGACACGCATGTCTTAATTAGTTTTTTTTGTTTTGTTTTTTTTTGTTTTTTTTACGAATTGGTCAAACCCAAATTCAAACAAAAACATTGTTTACAATCGTTATGAGTCTATCGATTGGTGAATAGAATTTTATTATAAACAATTGTCTTGTAAATGGAATTTTTAAAGCAACATCAACCTTTCAAAATGTCCGTGTGAGATTGTCATTGTCTAGCGTTTTGAAAATTGTATAATTTGGACCAATCAGATTAGCCATGGTAATTAAGAAATGTAATTTTTGTGTTTATAGTCGGACAGTAATTATCAAATACGGAAGACCAACCAGAATACAATTTAGTTGCATTATTTGAGTTCAGCATTGTTCTCCGCTGTTAAGCCCTTTACTTTTCTTAAAAACACGTATGGAGAAGTTAATTTGAGTTTTCAATTTCAACTGAGAAGGGTACCTACAAGTAACAGTATCATCTTATGAAATTTAACTACTGCTAAACTTTAATTTATATGATCTTATTTTTTTATATTAATCTCAGTTATGACATTTTTCCATAAATGAAATATGAAAATTAATAATAAAATGAATGGAAATACAAATAACACAGTAAAATGTAATAAATGTACATAAAATTATACTATTTTATGTACACTTCTGATAAAATTTCATAAGAAAGGTACCTAAATTAATTAGATACCTTTTTCTTAAAAAATTTAATCTCACTATTAACAGTCTTATTTTTTAATTTCTTTATATTTTCCATAAAGCATCGTAAACGTAAAAATGAAAGCTAAGTACAAAAAAGAATTAAAAAAAAAAAAAAAATTAAAGCGCTGAAAGTTTTCCTTAAAAGTAACAAGGTAAATAATTTGTTCACTTAAATAATTTCACTTCCTTCCATCCTTCCGTAAGTTATCTAAACGTCATGAATGTGCCTTTCGTCAATCGTCAAGCAACGCGAAAGGTTATGACCTGCTTTGTTTTATTTTCAAACTACATCTTTTCGGTGCAGAAGCTAAGTTAAGCTTGGTTCAAAATATTTTAAATAAACATTATAATTTCTGATTTTCTTAAAATAAGTTTTGAAAAAATGATAATTGATTTTTAAAAGAATATCAAAGTAAGATTTTAATCTTTTTTATCAAATCGAAAAAAATGATTGAAAATGATTGATTATCTGTCCTTTTTTTTGACCAAAAGAAAACAATATTTTTAACGAAAATTTCAGACGTGCTAGGAACGATTAAAAAATGTAAAAAAATACCCCCAAAATACTTTGATCTTTCCTCTTTAATAATAATATGAACATTAGACGATAAAATTTTGTTTTTGTCAAGTTCGGCGTCTTTTTCATCATGCTATGCTCTTTTGTTTACATTTTCGTGGGTGAGTTGTCCCCCTTTCATTCTCACGGTGTGTCTTAATCGTGTTTTCAAATTGATTTTATTAAAAAAACAACTGTGTTTTTCCCATTTTCGACCCCATTAGAACCACCACAAGGTAATTTTATGTAGTCCTGTGAAGTTTTATTGAAATCGGCTAAAAAATGTAGGAAATTCGATCCAACATATAAATGTTACAGACACACACACACACAATCTGCGTTTTATAATAAGTAAGATATTATAGTCTGTATATTATTAGCAGTAATAATATGTGTAGTGGTGGCACTGGTTGGTTATACTTCTTAGTAGTTGCAAATAACAGTAAGAATTGTAAACCAAACATATAAATGTATGGATTAAAAACTTTTAATTGTCTTTTGCAAGTGCAAAGAAACATTGAATTTACCAGAAATTGTTAAAAAAAAATTTTATTACAAGTTTGTTCATCTGTACACTTAGGATCATTCATTACAATGACTTTGGGCAAGAAGTTTATTCTAGCAGCAAGATTTTATTTTTTTTTATTTCATTTTCCCAGCATAACAGCTGATCTGATACTACTGCAGTTAATTTTGTTACTAGAATTAGAAGTAAAGTAAGAAGACAAAAAGTGGGGAAAGTAGTAATATATATTATAGAAAAAAATAATAATAGTAAGGAAGTCCTTATGATTAAATATTTCTTTCTGCTTGATTTTTAGAGAGCTGTAGTAAGAATAGCAAAAATAAAGTGAACAATAAAGGAAGAAGATAATTTGATTGTGACAAGAAGTCTTACATGTAAAGTGAAAATGACAAAGCAAGAAGTCCAAAGGTATCTAACACTTTCGCCCCAGCCCCTCAACCTCCGGCATCTTACTCTCGGGGTTGAGGTGTTTACTTAGTCCTAACCGAACTTAAGGGAGTGGCCATATTATTCGACCAGTCCGCTGGTTTAATCCTGCTTCCTGTCCACGTTGTGATTGGTTTGATCCAGAAAGCAGAAGTGATGTTAATCCATTCCCGGTCGACTGAAGATGTAGACACGACTGGAGAGTCTGCGCTAAGAAATTTAGAATGCAGCAAAAAAAAAAAAAAAAAAATTAATATCTGCTGAAAGCTGGACAAACATCAATTCAATGGTTGAATTGGTAATGTTTTTTATATAGCAGAAAAGAATAGTAGAGAAGAGAAACGGGTTACAGAAAAATAAAAAAAACTCATACACTGGATTCTAGACAGAGAGTGTGTGTGATTATCTTGTTGTTCAATCATCTCAGAATGATATATGACTCTTGCGATGGAGGGATAAAGATTTCTGTGCCCAGCTTAAAATTATGATGGCATTCCTCCTCTCAACGCTCGCCCGGGCCAATTCTCTGTTCAAGAATTTTTTCCCGTCTGTCTTTTTCAGCATAGCTACGCATTTATATAGATAAACCCGGACGGTTATAACTGAACCTCGGCCCTAATACTTTGCGCGCAATTATCACGGGGTTCTGGCTGCTTCAACCAAAATCATGTGAATTCCAAAGTTCCTTCTAGCTTACTCAGCTCTATTTCAATTTTTAATCGATAAAAATTATTTCGAGCATTTCCATTGTCTTCGGATGACCCAGATTCAATGGGTACAACTTCAGGAAAATATTCCAGCTACAGCAAACAAAACGGGAAACTAATGAGGAATTGGGGGAAAGATTCTCGGGGCTAGTGGCGATACCTTTTCCGGAGTTGGCGACTCGGGACAGTGGTCCTATTCAGGCCTTGTTGGCCTAGTGGATACGCTGAGTGACAGGGCGATGTTCTAAAGGCGTGACCGGTCAGCCTGGCCACAGCCATAGAGGCGGCTCGGACCAGCGAACAACTCTGGGATAGAATAAGAGGGGGTGTAGGTAGAAACCCCCCGGGTGTGGGGGCAAGGTAAGTGATAAAAAAGGAGGACCGGGAGCGGATCCAGATACGGGACCCAAAAGGTGGAATAGGACTGGAAGGCTGAGGCAGTTCCCAATAGGAGAGCCTGGGATCTGCGTTATCGATTTCACAAGCCCACACCAGGGCGATATGGGCTGGTGTGTTGGAGTTGCAAGTATGGTGGTCATCGGGCCCGCAACTGTCCGACAAACTATGGAGGCAACCCAAGGTCTTTGGGACCGAACTGCATGACTTGTGGCGAGTTCGGGCACAAGGCTCGGTGGTGTACGGCAGAGGGAGACTGTAAACTGGGGATAAAGCGAGTTAATACGCTGGTGGCCCCTACCGAGAAGGAAAAGGGTCCGGGAAACGCCGATGTTCGCCCGTGAAAAACTAAGAGGCAGGGTGGCCCCAGTGCAAGTAAGACCTCTGAGATGCTGGACTTGTGGTGTGGTCGGGCACTTTTCGGCCAGTTGTAAGAAGCAAAGCTGTTGGCGCTGTGGAGGATCGGGTCACCTGAGACGAACCTGTCCTCGTAGGAGAAAGATGAACCACGCCGAACGGAACAACCCTAACTCGAATGGAGGGGAGAAATGGGTTGCTAGTCCGAGAAAAAAGGGTCATCCAAGCTCTACCCCACCGAGGAGGGCCCCTAGGCAGAAACTGGAGCCCCTAGAAAAAGGTGAACTGTCACCGACTCCCACGTCTCGGTTGTCGAGAAAGCGGGAAGAAGGGAGAGAACATACCGGAAGGAGAAAGGCACAGTTATACCGTTTGCTGAACGAAAGGCCAGACTTCACCTGTGATGTGTTGATGGAAGACAAGAAAAGGTGAAGGCCCTTGTCGATACTGGAGTTTCAGTGTCACTGGTTAGCTCCAAGGTTTTTAGACAGTTGGGACTGAAAACGAAGCTTAGTCCCATCGATCTACTAATAAGTCAGGCTGATAGTAGCAGGATGAGGGTGGAGGGTATGACGTGGCTACCTTTCCAGTTGGCAAGAACCAGAGGTAAACTTAAGGTTTATGTTGCACCTGACTTTTGTGGCGAGCTAATTTTGGGAAGTGACTGACTTAGGCAGAATAAGGCACAGATCTGTTTTGACCTCACCACCCTAACATTGGACGGGGTAGGGATACTGTTGGGAGAGGATAATTATGAACAATTGCCAGTGGTGGCCCAGACAGATATAAAGCTTCCCCCTAGGACTACTGTATCTGGGAAGGGCAAGATTATAACAGAAGGAGTGCTGAACAGTGACCTGTACCAAGTGGTCTCTACTGATAGGTATGATAATAGTGAAGGGAAAATAACTGTGTGATTCGTTGGTGAAGAGGTCAGGGACCGTTCCCTTTCTGTTAACCAATACTGCCAATAAAACTATTAAAAAATAAAGCAGGAGAGGAGCTGGCACAGGTGTGCCCAGTGAGAGAAGTTGAACAGGTGAGAGTATGGAATGAAAATAGGCCTGGGAATAAGACAGATAGTGAGGAAATAAGGCGTGAAGATATAACAGTTTCTGAGCGTTATGGGAGGAAATTGAGGGTGTTGCAGAACAGTAATCGGGAGGAAATAGCCATTACGGATAAGGAACTGGGACAGACGGTGACAGTTGAAATGAAGATAGACACGGGTAATCACCCACCTATTAAGTTAAGATCGTATAGGACCCCAATCCACAAAAGAAAATTAGTAGAGGACGCAGTGAATGAAATGATGGAATCAGGGATAATCGAAAGATCCAAATCTCCCTGGAGTTTTCCAATAGTGATTGTTGAAAAAAAGGATGGAGGGCATAGGTTTTGCTCGGATTAAATGCCATTAGGAAACCGCTGACAGTGCCCTTCCCCTTGGTTGATCATATTCTAGCTCTTTTAGGAAAGTCTAAATGTTTTTCCACATTGGATTTGAGGTCGGGATATTGGCAGATTTAGCAAAAAGGATCAGGAAAAGACCGCTTTTACCTGCCACATGGGTCTCTTCAATTTTAGAGTTATGCCATTTGGGTTAGCAAATGCCCCGGGTGTATTTAGTCAGTCAACATCCATCGTATTGAATGGCACTGAGGCATTTGCCATGGCGTACCGAGATGACATCATGGTGTTTTCAAAATCACCGGAGGAGCATTTTGAACATCTGCAGAAGGTGTTTGATAATTTTAACTTTAATCCATGTTCTCTTAACCTATCGAAGTGTCAGTTTATGAAAGAAGAGACAAAGTACTTAGGGTTTATCATAAATAAAGAAGGAATAAAAACGGATTTAGACAAAGTAGAGGTTATAAGAGCCATGCCCGCACCGAAGACCGTAAGAGAGATTAGGGGATTTATCGTAGGTTCATATCAGCATTTAGTCGGCTAGCACGCCCTCTAATAGCTCTAAGAAGCATGCTAGGTTTAAGTGGACTGAGTATTGTCAACATGCATGTGAGGCTCTAAAGGACCAGCTGACAGCTGTACCCCTGTTGGCCTACCCAGACCTGAGTAAGCCCATGGTGCTGTACCGTGACCACCGATATATCTATATCGGTGGTCACGGCTGTACACCGATGTTAGCGATAAGTGCATCAGGGCGGTTCTTACACAACCATGTCCCGATAATGATGGACCAGTATCGTGTATGCCTGAGGAAGTGCCGATTTATTTTCCGTCTCATCGGCTCTCCGAGACTCAGCAAAGGTGGCCAGTAATAGAAAAAGAGGCGTTCGCCATTCTGTGTGCTGTGCAGAAATTAGATTATTATTTGAGTGGGGCTGTGTTTACCATTGAAACAGACCACAACCCCCTCAAATATTTGTTAGAGGCGGAGTGGACGAATAAGAAGATACCACAGTGGACATTGAAGTTAAGTGGGTATAACTGCAGAATAGAATATTTGACAGGGAAGGATAATACCTGTGCTGACCTGTTATCGAGGATTCCAAGGAAATTAGAGACCGAATCTGTCAGGTTGGAGCCGGGTGTGGATGATAAAGCATTCCAAATTAATGTGATCAATTCACAGGCGTTGAAGAAGAAACTTGGTTGGGAAGATCAGGAAATGAGTGAAACAGAGATTGTTTTCCGACCCCCACTGGAGAGATATTATTAGGCAAAGCCAAGAGGATAGCGAGATAACAACTATCAGGTCCAGGGTAGAGGCAGGGCGTACCTTCAAATATATGGTGCACGATGGAGTGTTGTATTACCTTTCAGGAAGAGATGAGAAAGTAAGTTTAAAAATTGTGATACTTGAGAAGTTGAGAGCTGAAATTCTAGACCAGTGCCATAGGAGGTTAGGACACCTGGGAATTGATAAGACGTATGGATTAATAATGAGAAATTATTACTGGCCTAAGTTGTTTAATGATGTTGTAAACCATGTAAAAAAATGTGTAACATGCCAAGTACAGAGTCGAAGGAGTAGGATTGCCCTAGTATTAGAAACGGATGTTCCGAATTATCCATTTCAGAAAGTAAGCATGGATATTTCCGGGCCCTATGGAGAAACACATAAAAGGTAATCTTTACATAGTGAGTTTTGTGGACTGGCTGACGAATTGGCCTGAGGCATTTGCCATACCGGATAAGAAGGCACGAACGGTGTCAGATATAATCCTGAACGAAATATTCCCTAGGTATAGGGCCCCCGAACAGTTGGTTACCGATAATGGATCGGAGAATGTGAATCGGTTTATGAGAGAGACGTTGGGAGAATTAAACATACAGCACATAACCACCTCTCCATATCACCCCCAAAGTAATGCTAAGGTAGAGAGATTTCATAAGACCCTCACTGATGTGTTAGCTAAACTAACAGAGGATAATAGGGAAAATTGGAATTTATTCGTAATGCAAGCGTTAGCAGCTGTGAGAATTTCGATGAACAAGACGACGAAATTTTCCCCTTATTACTTGATATATGGCAGGGATGTAGTCTTACCTATAGACAATCTGTTATGACCTAGGAGGAAGTATTTAGGAGAGGATCATCACCAAATATTTTTAGAACAACAGCATAAAATTTTTACGCAGGTGACGAGGAGGATTCAAAGAGCCCAGAAAAAGCGAAACGATAGGGTAAATAAAAATAGAGAAGTTTCCTTCCAGATAGGTGATCCAGTGTATTATAAAATACACAGGAGAGAAGGTAAATTGAACCAGAGATGGAGTCCATACTATAGGATCGTGGAGCAGACAGTTCCGATTTCCTTTGTGTTCTGGGACCAATTGACCGGACAGGTAAAGAGAGTGCATGCGAATGATATAAAGCTAGCTGAAATAGGAGAATGGAAAGGAACTGAAACAAAAACTCACCAGAAAAGGCTGAGGAAATCTATGTTGGTAGAACCCGAATGGCTAGAGACTGAGAGTAAAAGTGAAGGGAGTGAGGAGATTGAAATTAGCCCAACTACCCTTCGAAGGCTGTGGGAGGAAAGTCGGACCCCAGCGGGAGATTCTGAGGAAGCAGGGATTGAGCCTAACCTTAGGGAAGAACTGAGTGAATGGGGAGAAGAAGATAAAACTCCGTTAGCTCAATTGCAGAGTAAATTGCGGGCTGGAAAAAAGCACCTAGTGTTAATGAGGAATTACCATTAAAACTGCGATTAAGGGGGCGGTGCAGCCCGAGCCAAAAGATTAAGTGAAACCAGTACAGTGGCTGTGGTGAATGAGTGACAGTCTGGGACTGTGCATTTACCATCGGTGCTTGTGAACTGTGTGGACACCCCTCCCCATGGATGCACGGTGTTGGTGGTAGTGTGGGTCGGTGCTTGAGGTATCAATCTAAGATGTAACAACCCGCTAAAAACAATGAGAGAATGTTTGAGTAAGACGAATTATTCTCTGCATCTCTTTTCAGACATGGACGAGAGGAGGCTCGTAGTACTGACGATGCTAGTTATGGTTGTGAGATTACTGTATCTAAGAAGACTAACGAAGTGATTATAACTAGATCAAAGTGGTTGATAACTTTGGTGATAGACCTGCAGCCGTATGAGAAGTTACTGGGTCAGTTAATGACCGAAGTGGACAAAATAGATACAGCCAGGACACAAGTCGCCGGAGACTATTTACAGACTCCGGAATACCACCGTATATTATACCCCTTTGCTCAGGAATCCCTAATACTTGAGAGACAATTGAAGGATATGAGTTATTATTTGAAAGGAATAAAGTTGTTACGGACCAGGCAAAAGAGGGCAGTATTACCTATAATGGGAAAGGCATTAAGCGTGTTGTTTGGTACAGTCTCCGAAGACGAAGTGAGAGTAATTAAGAGGAAATTAAAGGTGGTAGAACAGAGACAACAAGCAATGGCTCAGTCGGTTAGAGAGAGTGTATCTATACTCAATGTTACTAGGCTGGAATTGGCTAAGAATAGAGGGAGTATCAATTGGTTGATTTCTCACCTACAGGTTTTTAGAGAAGAAGTGATAAATGTAACCACGTCTGTAACAACCGAATTACAGAAATTAGAGGGATTTTTGCATAGGTATTTTCAAGTATTAGCTATAAGTAAGGTACGTCAAACAAGTCACTCTTTAACGGTGTTGTTAGAGCATGTGAGAGCACAATTAGACATGCTGTCGCTGGGACACCTGTCTACGATTATAATAACCCCAGAATGATTAAGGGAAGTACTACTG